TAGATACTTAATAAGATTAATCCACCATATATTCCCTACAGCGATTATTTTCATGTCAGCGCTTCCATGGTCGTCTTTGTTGAGTCCCTCTTCACAGTTTACCGACTATTCTTCACAAAGGAACAAGTCAAAATTAATCTCCAAAATTTCTCTATTTAAAAAGTTAATCTATTAAATAATTTCTCAAGAATTCTCCCAATTTTTTAATTCGTTATTCGTGAGTAAAGAATTACTTATATATAAAAACGGGTGATATTAAACATAATAAAATAAATTAATACCCATAATCTAGAGTCAAAATGCAAATATCTCGATATCTGTAAAGTAAACTTTCTTTAAACTTCTAATTAAAGTTATTTAGGAGATTTTTTCAGTTCCAATGGTGGTAAGATCATCAAAATAAGCTGAAAAGATCGTGAGGTATGAGCATTTAAGTCTTCATGATCATATAAATTTTCATTACTAAAAATTTCTATGATTATATATGATCGTGAAGACTTAAAACTCATTATCTGATATTACCACCATTAGAACCTTCTCTACAACTTTAATTAGAAGTTGAAAGAAAATTTACTTTGCAAATATCGAGATATTTACATTTTGGCTCCAGATTATGGGCATTAATTAATTTTATTATGGTTTATCTCCGTTTTATATATAGTAATTAATTACTTTACTCGCGAATTACGAATTAAATAAGAGAGCACATGCAGTGTATTGAGATTAATTTTGGCATTGTTCAATACAATTTAGTAATGAATCAATAAAGTAAAAATCTAAAACAAATCTTTACCACTGTATCGGATTTATGCAATAAGTCCGCTCCAAGTGATAATAATCACTTCCAACACACTCTAATCATGTTCTTTTTATAATAGATGTCAGACTATGTCCCAAAGAAGGAAAATTATTTTCAATATGATCTACCTGACGAGACTATGATATACATCTTTAAATATGTTAAGCATCCTCTTAATTTGATAATAAGTTGTAAACGATGGTCTTTAATAAGTAAAGATTCGCAAGCAAGAGCTGAATGGATTATTTTTCAATATGGAAGAGCCCATTGTCTTTTTTATGCAATAAAATTGGGTCCTACTTTCATTTCTGTCGCAGTTTCTCGAACTATTATTACTAAAGGCGGTATTCTCTCTAGATATTTTATCCAGAAACTTTTTATACATTACGGTAAATACGACCTGAAACTAATCGAATTAAAGATCTCTCATAATATAGGACAAACAAATATAGATAGAATTCAACAAAAAAATTCTACGCCCTGGGCTAGTGATTTACCAATTCATGTTTATATATTTTTAATGACAGAAGCATCTAAAATATTTAAAGATCAATTATATATTAAAGGGAACGATTTAGAACTTTTTCATTATCTTTCAGGAGGCCCTCATACTATTAATTACGCACCAATAGTTTTAAAAAAGAATGAAGAAGAGATCAAAAATCTAATATTAAACATGAAATTTATACCATTTCCACCAAGAAAATCTGATAATTCACAAACTAATTTACCAGAAGAATATCCACCAAAAGATGGTCATGAAAACAATAAACAACTTAACCTAATTGCAAGATCTATTTTAATTTATAAAGATCTAATATATTTATGGAAAGAAATTGGTTATTATGAAGTCTGTGATGATGTTAATAATCTTATAATGCAAGGAGCACTTTTAATTCTTTTTCCACCATCTCAACCTCTTGGTTGTACTAAACCTGATGTTAATGCTGTCAAGACGCGATTTATTGAATTAATAAATTTGGGATTTCAATTAAATTATAGTTTAATTATCGATATTTTTCACCT